CCCCCACGGCCGGAAGGGCGAGCATGTTTGGTGGGACGGGGATTCGAATCCGCAACCACCCTAACCACCTGTCCATGCCGGGCCTTATCTGGTTAGTTCTTTCTTTCCCTTTGCTCCGAGTGGAATACTGCCTAGCAGAAAATTACATTTTGTTTTACAGCATATGGCTCATTTCGCTTTTCTAATCAACGTGCTGTCGACTGTTTATAAAATATTTAAAAATATAAAAGACAAGATTTCTTCAACCAATGAGTAATACCTTGAGTTATATTATATATTATAAGCACCATTTATTCTCTAAATGCAGATAATGAATAAGTTTCATTAACAATATATCGCTAGTTACAAAAGGTTAACCAAGAATTCTCTGACTTCAACCCAATCAAATTAAGATATTACCGAATTCATCAGTTTAAGAGAGCCTCATTTAACACGAGAATAAAACACTTAGCAGCGAGTATGGTCTTGATACATCTTATAAATTACTTCTGATTAGTCGGCGGACGACATTATGAGACATCCTCTCTAAGGCCGCGTGAAGGATAAGCCGTAAGTGTAAGCAGCGTTCAATGAAGTCAAAAAACGTTTATATGGGATTTAGAATCAGTAAATCCATCACAAACCTGGAAGTATAACACTGAGCATTATTCCGCATCAACACAAAATATGGTCGCGAAAAGTAGTAGAATAAATACATTGTTGTACGGTGAACCCGCTCCTCAAAAGTACCATAAGATCTGTACCTCAATCCACACAAACGCCTTAACGGGACCATCACTGACACGTTATTACCAATGATGTTGCACTGAACATATTCTTCTTCATTGGGTCTCTGTACATAAAACAGTGCCATTCTTCTTCTTTGGGTCTCTGTACATAAAACAGTGCCATTCTTCTTCTTCTTTGGGTCTACATATTTATAACTGTGCCGATTCGTCTTTGGGTCTACATATTTATAACTGCTATTCTTCTTTGGATCACCATATTTATAACTGTGTCATTCTTCTTCTTTGGGTCTCTGTACATAAAACAGTACCATTCTTCTTCTTTGGGTCTACATATTTATAACTGTGCCGATTCTTCTTTGAGTCTCCATATTTATAACTGTGCTATTCTTCTTTGGATCACCATATTTATAACTGTGTCATTCTTCTTC